GATCCGTGATGAAAGGTGGCAAAGCCATTCCCTGAGCAGTGATTGCAGCAACATGAGAAGAGGCTGTGCTGCTTGAATTGTGTGAAGCCAAAGCTAAAACTGATTAAGGAGAAATCTCTTGGGGACTGGGATGGGAAAGTGTCTTTTGCCCATCTTTATCTCTGTGTAATATCCCTACCCATTAGAAAAAGCAGATAGTGACCCAAGAGGTCACTACTGACCTCTGGTTGAGCCAAGTAAAACCTTTATATAAAGCCCAACTCATACGTTTTTTCAGTTTTATACTCTAACTTTTAATTGTCCTCCTTCTTTATTCCTAGCCATGTCTCTGCTTTTAATTAATTGTGTATACAGCAAAGCAGGTCTTTAACTAGAGAAAGGAGATAACTTTTTCTACTATTGATTTCTGGGCTTTTTGATCCACTTTCTACCTAAAGTTCTAGAAAGACTCCCAAAGCTTTTTGTCTCCTTCAGCTATATTTCAAAGGCAAACAAGTCTCTTCTGTGTGAATCTGATGTTTTCAGCTGTGTTTGCTGCTTTGGAGGCTCATCAAGTGGTGCATTTCTGTGTTTTGAGGACTGTCTTCACTGACAGTGTTGGGTAGCCCTCTTGAGAGTGAGTTAATGGGATTCATTTTATTGGTCTGTGAGAGGTGGAAATAAGTTGTTTTTTCAAATCTTTTCTCTATTCATTACTAAGTCTAAGATGTACAACCGTAGATAGAGGGGCTAGTGGTCTTAATGAAGGGGATTCCATTAAACAAACATTTATCGAGCACCTACTATGTACCAGTCTCTATACTCATCATTGAGATCAAGAAAAATGGTACAGATTGTCTCAAGGGTGTCTATCTTTTGGGAGAGTAAGAGTTATCTTGGGCCACACATTAAATACACAAACACTTAATGAAAGCTGATGATTAAAAAAAAAGGATCCATACATACTTTTCGTAATATCCAACATCACAGATGAGCAAAACAGGTCTCAAATAATCCACATGGAGCCCATATGGGCTGCCCATGGTACACCCCTAGATCCAGTGTTTGAAGCAATGTTGATTGTGGTTAAGTCCAGTAGAACCAGCGTAAATGGATCTGATTACACTTCAGATCTGGGAGGTAGAGTGCCAAGGGCGTGGAATGAACACAGTATCTCATCCAGGTTGCTCTGGATGAAAGGTTGCTTTATACCTGACCTCAGGCGAGTGCCTTAACCTCCCTGGCTCTCTTCTAAAGTACATGTTGTAGTGGTAGTAATGCCTCTGGGAACTGTTACGAGGAGGAAAGTAGGTGGCATTCCTGTCTGCAGAGCCTGGGACAGTGGTGAGCAATTGTACTTAGTATCATTATTGTTCCCATCTGGCCCTCAGCAGTCAAGGGACACCTGAGTGAACAGGAATATGGTGTAACTCAAATAGATTTGAAGGAAGTAGGCAAACAGTTGGGGAAAATAAGTGAATTCAATTAAAAGACTAGTTAAGAGAATGATTGAATGGCTTTTCATAGATAGAGAGAAAGGAAACTGTGTCATTTTTAAACATCTATACCTGTATTTCACTCATAGGTGAAGTACTTTGATTGCTTGTGTGACCGTGAATTAACATGAATTCAGTGAAGTACCTTTAACCCTGAGCATTAAAGGAGTTAGTTCCAAATGTATGATTAAAGAACCTTCCGCTTTTGACAAAACTGTTTTAGTTCCTCTCTTGGAGTTCTGTTACATGGTAGCAATTAATGAACCCCAGCCTGTCTTGATATGTGACACCTTCTGTTGAGCCAGAGATGCTGTTTCAGAAAAGGGCTTACTCACTCCACCATGGAGCCGCAGGCGGCTCAGGGACTGATGGAGGAACAGCCATAGCTCTGGCTCTGGTGCAGGTCCCCAGTAGGTTCTGGAAGAAAGAGCAGAGAGCGGGGCTGCCCTTTCATCAGCCCACCCTTGCTTCTCTTCCCAGATGGTCACCCTAGCATCACTGCTGAGCAATGAAGTGAACAAATGTTTTAATTTCACTGCTGAGTAGTTTTGCAGAGGGGGAGACAGCAGCGAGGATAATGAGAAGCGCATCAGATGCCACCATTGATGAAAGCTTCTCTTCCCCACTGGCGCAAATGATAATGCCAGACAAATTGGATATACTGAGAAAGGTAGATTTGGGATATTTGCAGAGCTTCATGTGGGAAAAAACCTGGCCTAGGATAGAATGAGGTAGCTGTATCTACATCAATTAGGATGCATAAAAAAGCAAGGAAAGGAGAGAGAAAGAAACATGCGTACTAAGGGTATTCACAGGGAGTGGGTCTGTATCAGCTATCTATTGCTGTGTCACAAGTTACTCTTCAATTTTAGCAGCTAAAAAACCTTTATTACTCATGTTTCTGTGGGTTAGGAATCCAGGTGCAGTTTAGCTAAGTCCTCTGGCTCAGAGTCCCTCACAAGCCTACAATCAAGGTGTCAACCAGGGCTACAGTCATCTCAAGGCTCAACCAAAGGAGTATCTCTTTTTAAGCTCACTCACATAGCTGTTGGCAAGCTTCAGAAGATCCACTTCCAAGCTTACTCACTGGCTGTTAGCTGGAGATGTTAGTGTCTTTCCATGTGAGCCTCTCCGCAGGGCAGCTCACACCATGGCAGCTTGCATCTCCCAGAGCAGGGGCAGAAGAGAGAGAGAGAGAGAGAACATAAGCAGGCCAGAAGTCGTAGTAACCTAAC